ATTAAAAATGGCGGCCGTGAGACCGTCTGAGCAACTCAGTGATAGTATATATGGCGACCGTGACACCGTCTGAGCAACTCAGTGATATTAAAAATGGCGGCCGTGAGACCGTCTGAGCAACTCAGTGATAGTATAAATGATGGACTTGAAACCGTCTGATAAATAAGGAAATCCCTTACATCCAAAAAAGGAATCCCTTTCTCTTCCGTTATATGATTTCTGATTCCCTTTCCAGACAATAAGCTCTATATAGTGTCCAGTGATGGCTCATTGGTTTTCATTAAATACAGATATAGTGACAAGTAATCTTTATCTTTTGTTTTCGGGAAAACTGATTTGCCAATCATGTGATCCAATGAAGAAAACATCGCTTTCGAGGGGAACTGGCAAATTGACCTAAACCTAAATAACTTAATGATCAATAGACTTTTGACCATCGTAAGGATAGTTAAGGTTAGGTTAGGTCATGGGGAACATTTTAAACTGGTCATCTGGTATATATACCTACTGGTCATTAAGTTATTTAAGTTTAGGTCAATTGGTTTTCAGGTCAATAGACTCGCACCCAAAATTTATGTAAGAAAAACCGGGTTTTTACGGGAACCCGAGGGTTTCCCGGTAGTGGGTACGGGCGGGTTGGGCTCAAACTCAACGGGTTTGGGCCGGGTCGGGTTTTGATTCTCGGTCTAAGTTTGATTGCTAATACCAAGTGTGACACCGATTATCATTGTATCTAATGGTTACCACATCTTGTGTTGTATTTGTGTCTCAATTGTCTCTCAACTTTTAAACTAATTTATCGAAAGCATTGAAAGCATTCCTCATTACTAATACCAAGTGTGACACCGATTATCATTGTATCTAATGGTTACCACATCTTGTGTTGTATTTGTGTCTCAATTGTCTCTCAACTCTTAAACTAATTTATCGAAAGCATTGAAAGCATTCCTCATTACGACCGACAAAACGCCAACAAATGGACAAAAATTAGTTAAATTTTTTAAAATTAAGGACAAAAATACAATTGAATTGTTTGTTTGTTTTCTATATGTCTTGTGTCTGACCACCGATTTTCATAGCGACCTCTCATCCCATCATTATATAAGAGTTATTATTATTATTTAGTTTAAAATCACTTTTGATTTCTAATACTTTTTATATACCGTAAGTCTAATGTTTATTGAAGTAATTATTGCTGTAATAGAGTCGACAAAACATTTTTCATAACTTTAATTACTAAAGAATTTTCAAACAAATGTCTCTCTCTTTTGGTATTTATTTAAAGACTAATTAAATGAATAAATTGTGAGATTTTATGCGAAACTATTTGTTTTGTTATTTGAGTAAAAAAGATGTTTGCGATCAGTTTGCTTGTTTATAAGATTCAAGTTCGGCCACTGACCCTGACACTGACCCTGGCCACACTGTTACACTTCTTGATGTGTGTGAGGAGGCGCGGGGTATGGAGTCTCCCATCGTATACTTCAGCAAAACCATAGCCGCCGTCAGTAACGCCACGAATCGCAAGCAACTCATGGAAATCAATACAATCGGTTCGTATCGCCAGTCTTCACATCAAAAGACAACAATTTATTACTTAAACACAGAATTATACGGAATATAGCGAACGACTCGTTGTTTTTGAGTCTATATTAGACTTTTTATATGAGTTTATGTCACCATATGATTTGACAATAACCAGGGTATCAGCCAATACTCACTTATTTCGATGATAGGAAAGGTAACGATCAGGAATCGGGTGACAATAATGCACTCAATAAACGCCAAAATAGCGGTCGCGGCCGTTGTTGTCATGAGTCGGGCGCCGGTATTATTGTTGCTGTCAATCATGAACTGAACCATAGATACGATGTGTAGGATAACGAGTAGACTATACAAGAAGTACCACCAGTAGGCCGAGCGCCCCATTACCAGACTATCGGTGGTCACGAATATAGACTTAATGGCGAACCCAACGGATGTGAGGGTCAGTAGTAATAGGATTACTGTAAGCGCACAGAATATTCTTTGGTCGACCTGTGAGAGAGTAAAGGGTGATCTGCTCGCAGGTATGTCCTTATCGTTTGGGAACAGTACTCGTGAGGAATGAGTAGTCGGAGGCCCGCTTTCCATACTGAGCTGTTGTCTGTCCTGATTCTGTGGCTCAGAGGTGACTGACTGTGGGTTCAGATTACTTCGTGTGGAACCGGTAGTCTCTACGGACGGAAGTCTAGTTGACATTCCGGTGATTGTATCGTTAGGTTTTGTATAAGAATTCTGTTATAAAACTAATTAAATGTTAACTCAATTGGGATTTAATTACATTTATTTTTCAAACTAACGGAAATTAGGTATAATTTTTATCATTCAAATCTTATAGATTTACAAATTTTTAATAATAGTCATATTCACGCATAACTAATAGTGTTTAATAATGTAATAAAAGTTGTCAATAATCATAACATTAATTTTTGATACAAACAAAACGATATTATGATTGATTAAAACCAATTGGATAAATACATTGAAATAATTAGGAGTTTATTTGTTTTATCAAATTATGAAATTAACGACAGATTTTACAAAAAAACAAAATAATTTGTTTAATTTACTAAAAGTAATTAATAATTATCAAATAATCGTTAATCATAAAAGGATTCAATACTTAGACCACAGATTCGAAGTAACTATAAGTATAAGAGATTGTCTTCATTGAAGTCTTTAGTTCCTTAGGCTTCAGACCAGTGACCAAACGATTAATAACTGATTGATTGTCGCCAACGATATGATGCCATTCACTCTCCAGAGATTGTCTCCAATTCTCATCAATAAACTCAATGGTCTTTGCCATCAGCTCTTCGTTATTGTATTTCTCAAAAGTTTGCAATAATTTGAATGCATTTTTGCCATTGATTTGAATGAATAGCAAATTCTCGCAAATATTCTTGAGATCCAAAACCATATACTTCGCCGAAGTATAGATCAATGGTTCCTCCATTTCTACCAATTTGTCTGAAGTCCCGAAATAAATGAATTTCAAGAACTCTTCGAAGACATCGACGTCGATGTCATCGATAACCACATCACTTGTCTTCTTCTCTGTCATATCAGACATAAACATCTGATGAAAGACATCCGATTGTGCGCTGAGAATGAGTTTAGAGGCGAAGAACTCCTTCTCTCCGACAACGAGTCGACAGTCATTGAGATCATTGTTATTGAAGTTCTTCTTAAGGCATAGCTGTCTGTTGTCACCAACGACTAGTGTCTTAAATGTGGTGATGTCGAGGCCAATGGTTAGGCTATCATTGGGTAGATATTTGTCCATTTGATCCGTGAGTGTGGAAAACTTGATAAACCCATACAATCCCCAACCGTCTGAGTCTATGCCATACTTTCCCTGATTATATCGTCCGAATGGTTGGTACTGTGAGTCCAGACAATAGACACTGTATTCGGTGACCACCGATGACTCCGCACTCTTGATTAAGCACAAGAAAATGTTGAGATAATCCTTGTCTTTATTCTGGTTGACATCCGAATCGACACTTATTTGCCACTCATCTGATCCAACGCGGAAGATATTGCTGTATAGAGTCGTGTGATTCCTATGAGAAAAGGACACGATTTTGAGCACAACTTTTGTTTTATAAACCAATTGCTGAGACATTGTGTGGACTCGAGTGGACACACGGTTACTAAAAGTAGTTTGAATTGAATGTTAAAACCAGTGATTAGTTTGACTTTTGTGTTGAGTTACCCAAGTATTACCCAATGGTTTGGACATCAAATGATTTAATCGCTATATTGTTATACGAATAGTTAACGTAATTAAGTCTAACGGAAAAACTTATAAACTACGACGCGCCCCTCATGAACGTACCCGGGCGTACACACGCCGTCGAGATATTCTACACCCCGGAGCCCGAGAAGGACTACTTGGAGGCCGCCATTCGCACCGTTATTCAGATTCATATGTGCGAAGAGGGAGAGGGAGATGTGCTACTGTTCCTCACTGGCCAAGAGGTGTGTATTCATTGGTTTCTAACGGATAGTGTCTTAATGGAGTGTTTAATGGTTGTCCCCCTTATATGGTCGGCCTATTTGAAGACACGACAGCCCTTTCCCTATGGGTTATTGTGTTGTTCTATAGGCCTATAAAAAATTGCATTCAATGATAGCTTTGTTTGTGTTTCAAGAAATTGAATTCAAATTCACTTTTTAATGCAAATATGTTTTGACTAAAAATAATGCTTTTTTGTTGAAATCCATAGGAAATCGAGGAGTCGTGCAAACGAATCAAACGCGAAATCGACAATTTGGGTCCAGATGTCGGTGATCTCAAGTGTATACCCCTGTACTCGACACTCCCGCCTAACCTCCAGCAGCGTATCTTTGAGGCGGCGCCGGCTACCAAAGCGAACGGCGCCGTCGGTCGCAAAGTAGTGGTGTCGACGAACATCGCCGAGACCTCACTGACCATCGATGGCGTGGTGTTTGTCATCGATCCGGGTTTTGCTAAGCAGAAGGTCTATAACCCGCGGATTCGCGTCGAGTCGCTGTTGGTGTCGCCCATAAGTAAGGCGTCGGCCCAACAGCGCGCCGGGAGGGCCGGGCGTACGCGTCCCGGGAAGTGCTTCCGGTTGTACACCGAAAAGGCCTATAAGACCGAAATGCAAGAGAACACGTATCCGGAGATATTGCGCTCCAATCTGGGAATGGTTGTCCTCCAGCTCAAGAAGTTGGGTATCCATGACCTTGTTCACTTTGACTTCATGGACCCGCCAGGTAAGTGCCTTTCCCGTAGAGCACCGGGAGTTTGAGCTTGAGTTTTGGCTATAATTGTTGTGATTTTTATGTCTGATGTATAGCACCGGAGACACTGATGCGAGCGCTGGAACTGTTGAACTACTTGAACGCGTTGGACGACGACGGAGAGATGACAGACTTGGGCTCTATTATGGCTGAGTTCCCATTGGATCCGCAGTTGTCGAAGATGTTGACGGCGTCGTGCGATTACAACTGTTCCAATGAGATACTGTCCATCGCGGCCATGCTGTCAGGTATGAGCTATATTGATGTGGATATGGACTATGGGAGTGATTATTGATTTGTTTGTTGTGTTTGATGTCTGACCTCCAGTTCCCCAATGCTTTGTGAGACCCAATGAGCAGAAGAAGGCGGCGGACGACGCGAAGATGCGGTTCGCGCACATCGACGGCGACCACTTGACTCTATTGAATGTTTATCACGCTTTCAAACAGAGTATGTGTTATTGTTTGCGGTGATTATAGGGAACGGTATCTAAATTTATTTTGTTTTTGTTTGTGTGGACGCAGACCACGACGACCCGAACTGGTGTTACGAGAACTTCATTAACTTCCGGTCCCTCAAGAGTGCAGATAACGTGAGGCAACAGTTGTCGCGAATTATGGATAGATTTAATCTGAAGAGAGTGTCGACAGACTTCACGTCCAGAGAATACTATATAAATATACGAAAAGCGCTGATTTCCGGCTATTTTATGCAAGTATGACACCCCTCTTGACGCCATTCCTACCGCTTATCACTAATCGGGTGTTTGTGTTGTAATTGTTTGACTAATTTGTTTGCTGTGTTTGTATGAAAAGGTGGCGCATCTGGAGAGGACCGGCCACTACCTGACCGTTAAGGACAATCAGATCGTTCAGTTGCACCCGTCCTCCTGTTTAGACCATAAGCCAGAATGGGTTATATATAACGAGTTTGTGTTGACCACTAAGAACTACATCCGAACGGTGACTGACATCAAACCCGAATGGTTTGTATTGGCGTTCATCTCATTGTTCAATGATTTTGTTGTTAAACTAATGGCTAAACTATTTTTGTTTGACCGATAGGTTGATACGAATAGCGCCGGTATATTACAATATGGATAACTTTCCTCAATGCGAGGCTAAGCGACAGTTAGAATACCTGACGAGTAAACTGCAGTCAAAGCAATACCAAGTGTGACACCGATTATCATTGTATCTAATGGTTACCACATCTTGTGTTGTATTTGTGTCTCAATTGTCTCTCAACTCTTAAACTAATTTATCGAAAGCATTGAAAGCATTCCTCATTAC